TGTATTAGAAGATTAACAAATTTCTTTGTACTATTTAAGCATTCTCCGCAAGTACAAGTAGAGCTTTTATGCGAACCGAACAGTTTACGGATACTTTTCGTTTCAACTTGTAAACGAGCCGAGCTCGTACAAGTAATCGAGTTTACTTGTTAAATGAGCTGAGGCGAGCTTGTTCATGTATAGTTTGACTTTTTTAATGAATTTTAAATGAAATAGTTGAGCCAAATTTGTTCTTAAAAAATCTCGTAAGACTTTCAGATATTTTAAACGAACTTAGCTTGAGGCAAAGCCTTTAACTAGTTCATTAAACTTGCATGACTTCGAACATAAGCTATTTGGCTTGGCTGTGAGTGACATCCTTGGCGTTAAGCAAATGATGCAGGTTGCTAACGAAATTGTTGCAGCGAATTGGAATGAATCAGTTGCTAACAAAATTGTTGCCAGCGAACTGGCCAAAAAACCGATCAACGACCGGCTGAATTGGCCCAACAATGATCGGTTAAACCGGTCTAATTTTGTAAAATAAATTTTAATATATTTTTTTTTAAATAATTAATATAAATAAAAATATATATTTTAATATACTGCATATATATAAGTTAGTTATTAGTTAGTTTAAGTATGTGAAAATATTTAATTATTTTTTTTATATATAACTTTTATTATATAAAATATTATATCTTTAAAAATATTAATAAATTAAATAACGGTCCAACTGTTTCAACTACTAATCGGAATAATGAACTATTGAACTAGTAGCATGATCGGTTTGGTTAGAACCTTGGTTTTTACACTCTTTGGGTTCTATTCTAATCCGATGGTTATATTTTAGTTTTGAATCTTGAAAACAAGTTATATATGCGTAGAAATTAAATGTGAAGTTAATTTTTGATGTTGTCAAATAAAAATGAACAAAGAAAAATTGACTTTGTGTTTGATAATCAAAATTCTATACATTTTTTTTTTTCTAATTATCAAACCTTAATATAAAAGTAAGACTAAACATTTTATTAATGTAACATTGAAAAAATCTTATTAATGTTTAATGAATCTTTTAGTCGACTTTAAAATGAAGCTAGGTTTATTTTACTAACAATCAATTTCACTATTTGGGGGTTAATTGTAACTAAAGTAAAAATATGGGGGACATTTTGCAATTTTCTAATGTTTTGGGTTTTCTTCCCCAGCTGCTGGTGAGAAGTGAGATTCAAAGCCAGCATCGTCATCGTCCTTCAGGCTCAAGCATCGTTTGTTGAGAGATGTATGAAGCCCAACCATAACCTCCCTTCAATCTCCCGCAACATTCCTTTCAAAAAGCTATTTTCCGCCATGAAAATGACCTCGCGACGAAATATAATCCCCACCATCAACTCTGGAGCTCACGCATTTTTCCTTAGTTCTCCGCGTGCCGGTACAGAGAGAAAGGGAATCGAACGGGTGAAAGATGATGGAGTCTAGGGTTCCCGTATGCAACACGTGCGGCGAGGAGCTGGGCCTTGGTGCTGATGGGGAGGTGTTCGTGGCCTGCCATGAGTGCAATTACCCGATTTGCAGGCACTGTTTGGATTATGAGGTCAAGGAAGGGCGGAATGCGTGCATTCGCTGTGGCAGTCCGTATGGTGATGGTGTGTAGTTTGTAAAGTTTCATTTATTCTTTTTATTGGTCTCAATTTGATTTAGTTGAATATCCGCCTGAATGTGTTGTTTTGAAATCTGAATTCTTGGCCAGGGGGCGGAGTCGGAGCTGAAGAATCCGGAAATCGTTTGCCAATTCAGTCACATCCAAATGCTGTTCAGGTGTGGTTC